TTAAAAAAATAACTGAGTTGTAACAGTGCTGTTTTTTAAAATTTGTGATTTGGCCAGATTCTGAAGTACTAATTATTAACAGTTGTTTATTATTAGGTGTCAATTGTTGGCTGGATGGGTATCTTCAAAACATCAGACTGTCTCAAATTGGTGGGCAGATTAAAGTGATACAAAGTCACAACTTTGAAGATTTGTTGGACAGATATGCACAATATGTAGTCTAAATTGTTTTTCCATAATATCAGGATTAGGGGAAGTGATTCGTTAGGATCTATATAAATTATCAGCCTTTATGAAATTTTTCTTGCCCAAGTAAGAGTTATTCAAGAGGAAAAACTTGGAATAGGCCCAAGTTTACAGTATTTCCCCCTTTTTGTTGCATTTACTTTCATTAGGAAAAGGAAGAGTCACTGTTTTCCAAAGGCTAGGCCTAGGAGCTGGGAGAAAGTACTATGGGCTATGAATGAAAAAATGCATTGTGTGTTATTGTACTTCTAGGAGAAATAATACCACATAGAGCTTTTTCCTCCTTAAAAATATAAGAAATGCCGGACTCTGGGTCAGATTCATGGGCTCTCCACGGCAGTGTGTGTTTCTGGTACAACAGGCTGTTTTGTTTTGCATACATGTCTTCTGTGATGCCAGTGTATAAAGGTTAGGGGGTGTGCCAGACATCCTGAGTTCCTCTCATTAGGAGCAGAGTTCTTTCATTTGATTCAATGAAACTGGCATATTGAGCCTGGCAGGTTAGTTGTAATGTTGAATGACCAGCAACAGGCTGTTTTGTTAATTGCAAAGCATATTTTGCAAAATGATATCACCAGCAAAGACATATCAAACAACTTTTGATTCTTTGACCCCCAGATATTTTTATTTTATCTGCGATGAAGCCACTGGAAATCAGTGAAGTGAGCTATAGCCATACTATTAAAGGGAAACCTAACATTTGGTTCTGAAAATGGGGGACAGTGAGACTAACTACAGTATTTGCTAAGCGGGATGTCACCTGAAGAAGTAAATTGCTTTCATTGGATTTGATGAAGGGCAACTTTTGCTTTGAGGGTCAGGACAGTGGAGATAATTGTGGTCCAAATGTTCCAAGTCTTGTGTTGAGCCTATTGGACTTAGCCAGAGGACATTTTATACTTTTGATGCTTTTAGAGATAACTTTTTCATATTTTAGCATACCAGATTGTTGACTTGTTGATTAGGCTCACAAGTAAAAGTGAGAGTCTTGTATTACAACTAGTGGATTCTGGGATTAACACTTGCTTTATAGACTAGGGTATGTTAAATGTTGACTAAGCAATTGTGAGGAGCACACTATGGGCTATGTATTATAATGAGGTGGGAGAGTGTCTTTTTTTTTAATGGTCTTATGTTGAGAGTCACTACATTAGAGGATAATAGTTTTAAATGAAGCTACATTTCAACAAGGGAACAGATAATGAGAATAAATGAATTCTGCAGATAATCTAGAAGCTTCATTTCAACTGTTATTTATAATCTCTTCTCCACCAAACCTTTTAGTATGTAGCAAAATTGATTAATTTGTGTATATCTCTTCTCTCTAAGCCCACAGACTCTGATAGAGTGTTCAAATAGAGATGTGGACGAGAGCAAAGAGGATGGGGATGAGGCCAGGTAGGGTTGGGGATGCATAATCCCCAAACTGAGTAATAACTCAGAATAATCAAGATATATTTTAGGGTCTTAATGTTAATTTTAATATTGATTCATTCTGGGCAGTATTAAAAACAAAAGATTGTATAAAGGCATTAAAAAAAAATCACTTGCTGTGGAATGGTTCAGAATAAATATGGCTTTGTTTTTAGCATGATATAGGAATCTTTTGAACTGGCCTTAATGTTCTTTCAGCTCACACAGATACAGCTCTGTTTAATTCCATATCCTCTTATCTATAAGTCCTACATTTAATTTACTACATTTGAGTTGCTTTGTAGGTTTACTTAGCAAAAGTACAGTCTTGATTAAAAGGATATTATCACAGTTGATGGACCTTGAAAGCATTTTTTCTCAGACAATCTAATGATTTTGAAAATGGCCTGCAGACTCCCATAAGGCTAGATTTGTAGGCCCACCTGGCTCTACTTCGGATAGTAGTTAAGGGGTATGCTTGGTGACCTAGATTTCCCATGTGTTACCTTGCTATCATCTTTAGAAATGGAATATTGCTTCAATGGAATACTACAGCAAGTTTGTTTCAGGATTTCCAGGTCTCTGGTTAACTGATCTCTTATTTAGCAACTATAGCCTTTGTCTCTTGGGATGCTGCTGACAGGATTCTCCAATCCTTCTGAGGGAGGATTCGATTATTATATATAAGGGTTACATTTTGGAGTTGAAGCTGTGACAGATGCTGCCCTCACACAATCCAGAATTAATTTGGTGTTCATTTTAGTGGCTATGACTTGCTTTGCAAAGCCAGTGATTTCCACAGTTGGCCAGAATCACTCATTCTCTACAGCAGGCCATTTTCTACTCTCCTATTTTGATTGCACAGTATGACTGTTTGGTGGCATCTGTGCTTCTGGGAGTAAAGAAAACACTGTTGCTCAACAGGTGACAAAAAGCTATTATGCTTTGATATTCTGCTTAAAACATTATTACCATTCTTCTAATTCTACTAGTTGAAAAATGACTCATTCTGATTTTGACTTTGTAACTCTGTGGAATATATTTTTGACTTATTGAAATAAGGTATTTCTTACAAAGGATTCAGTTTAAAGTCACCATATTTACAGTTCAGTTTACAGGAGCTTTCAGTTGTTTAGAATCACAGGAACACAGAGAAGAATTAAAAATTATATATGTGGTAGTAATTCAAAATGGGAGAATTTTGATAATGTTTTCCTATCAAATTTGATAGTGGGGCCTTTTCAAAATACAAAAGGAAATCAATTTTATTCATGAATAATTTTTATTTTGGTCAACACATCTTTCTTTACAGCTTGGTCTTTAATTTTATATATATAAATGAGAGCTTTATTGAGATATCATTCACATGCCATACAATTGGTCTTGACCTCTTTTAATTGTTAAATTATGAGGCTTTAAAAATCTCTGAAATTTTTATTCATGAACAGAGACTGGACTCCTATGAAGAAAGGATTTATGGGTCTAAATTGCTTCCAATTTGCCTAAATCACTTTTTTCCAATACATAGCCACAGTTTGTCAGAGCTAGAATAGTTATTAGAAGTTATCTAGGGTAAAAATCACCTGGGGAGTTGTTCTTTTTTCCAAAATCATACTTGCGGATGCATATAACCTCCTGAAATTCTGATAAATTTTGCAATCTCCACTCCATTCCAGTTAACTACCACTGATTTAATCTAACACTCTCATCTCAAGGATAGGGAAATATTCTTCCTCTCACAATTGATCAGACACTTTAATAAACACCAAAATTATTTCATTTTTTAATATAAGAGATTGTTTTTTATAAATAAGAGTTGAAGATTCAAAATTCACTCAGTGAATGATGGGAGTATAAATTATTTATGATGTATATTTTTAAAAACAAATCATGAAGGATCTGATACTGTTGAAGGAAAAAAACTCAAAGTCACTGATCAGAAAGTCACTATACAATAGCTTTTGCACATTTGTCATTGTCTCAGTACTGTGTCAGGCACTGGAGAGATTAGTAGATGTCCTTTATCCTGGAAACGCCTGATAGCTAAGCACTCATATTTCTTCTCAGCTGCCCACAGTCATTTCCCATAGGGTATGGGAGGCCTTATTGTGTTCGTTTTTAAAACAGCTGCCCTGATTGCATTTTCAGCAGAAGGAGATTCATAAGAATACTGATATTAAATAGATAGAAGAAATAGCCACAGAGATAGACTTTAATAAAAAATATAAACATCTCAGAAGATCTGATAGACTCTAATGGATGGATGCGTGAAGACCTGAGGAAAGAATTAAATGAATTTTCCAGAGGGCTTTGTATCCTCTGAAACATTAGACAATTTCAGGCTAAGGGCAGAAGTGGCAAAAGGTTTTCATGGACAACTTTTCCTCCTGTAGATCTTTCCATCCCTATGGATGGAAAGAGTAAAATTCTATGACTTCACTCACCTGCTCTAAAAGGAAGCCTCTTTCTTGAGTAAAAATGTTTACCAGCTCTTACATCTTCTCTCCATTACCTTAGACAACCTTACACTCCACTTGGGAACCATTGATCTAATGAAACCCTAGATTTGGGAGAATAGAATGGAGTTGTTATGTTTTCGAAATTTCATTTTTATTGTCAGTATGTACAAAGAAATTAAGAATTTTATATGATCTTTAGCTGTATACACTATTCTGTGTGAGACATGAGGGAAAGGGATATATTCCTTTTGATTGGATGCTCATCAAAGCAAAAGTAGATTACTCTTAAGCCATTAGCAAGAAATTGCCCACACTTACTTAGAAGACTACTTTTTTAAGGTTATCACCAAAAGTTTGCCTGTATCACATAGGAAAGATATGATAGTCTCTGGGTTAGGGTATAGAAACCTGTGCACAAATGCCCTTCCCTAAAATTATTTGAAAGGTTTATTTCTTTTAAATTTAGAACTTAATCTGAAAGCGGTGACTGTTCCTGAAACCAGGAGAATGGTTTGCTGTATCTTTGAATTTGAATTCCCTTGGTCTAGATCCTTATTGTCATGAGCCACAATTTGGGAGTGGGGCTGAATCCTTGCCATCAATTGTCTTATTCTACACACAGCCCCCAGAATGATTGTTCCAGTTCCAAACAGAAGAGCATAGCCCAGCACCTGTTGAGGACACACAGATTAATGTTTCAGTCTCCATTCCATCAGAGTGGTCTTCAAACCCAAAGCGAAAACTTTGAACTGAGAAAATTGATATGGCCTTCCAAAAGCAAGGGGAAAGGAAGAATTGCATTCTCTTGAAAGTTAAATTATAACTTTTTCTTTCTGTTTCTATGAAGAAGACTGTACTAATAAAACTGCCAATTTCTTTCAGGTGGGTGTACATGGCATTAGAATAGAATTCATCAATGAAAAAGGATCAAAACGCACCGCCACCTACCTACCGGAGGTTGCAAAGGAGCAAGGTCATTGTTGTACTTTATTTTATATGATCTGGTGAAGAATTTAAACAAATATACAAATTGAAATGCAATATCTGACCTTGCAGTTATGTCTGATAGTTGATCAATGTAAAATTATAAGAAATGATTCTTCCATCACTGCCACTGCAATGTCTGTATAAAATCGGTGAATTACGCGCACAGAAGTTGAACCTCTGCACTAAAGCTTGACAGCACAAACACACAAAAGTGTACTTTCGAAAAGCAAAGAGTTGTAAAAGTTGAGTTTTATTTCAGGCAACAGATTGCTCCAATTAAAGTACCATTTTCCCATATTCCATTTTACTGTCGTCTTGTGGCATAAAAAAGCCTTTTTTGTTTGACAACCACACAGTTCATTGTCAGTTTCAAATGTTTCATAACTAGGTGGGTGCCATGACTCATTATGCTGCCATGAAGAATTTGGGTTTCCCATTAAGATTAGGAGCATTGGGGATATTTGAAATATTAGTTTTTTATATGCTTGGTCTGCACCTCCTAATCAACAACTGTTTTTCTATTTTGCAGATATAGCACAAACCTTTGTAAGCTACCACCATAACATAAAATAACTTTTCACACTATAGTATCTTGTCCTTTCTAGCCATTGCTAAATTCTAGTTTCATGTTAGTTGAAATAAGTATTTCTTCTATATCTAGGAACCTTTTCTTATCACCAGAAATCATTTGTAATTTGGTTTTCCCATGTTTGTTTCATATAAATGTGAGATATGTAAGAGCAAAATTTAATGTCATTAAACCCCAAATGATAGAATTAGTCTTCAGCAATCTGAAGATTCATTTCGTTTGCTTTTGCAAATGTCTTCATCCTGTAGTTCTATTGAATTTGTAAAACATACATCAGAGATAGAGAGCCTTGAATATTAGTATGCCACACCATGTTAGAAATAATAAAAATGCCTTTGTATACTGCACACAAATACACTTGATTGACTGTAGAAAATACCATTAGGAACAGTAATTACCATGAGTTAGTGTAGGTGTCCTGACTACTCCTGAGTTGGCACAATGACATTTAGGCTCTTACTTCCCTTTTAAAGATGTTACTGTTGGAGGAGAGCGCAGTGTTTGGGGTTCGTTACCAGGCACAACCGAGCAGTTCATGCCAGCCTCTCAGACTCCTTGCCTTTGATTGAGATTGAGATAAAGAAGCCAATGCTGTTAGCCATGTGGATAGCTAGAATTTCAGGTGTGTGGTGGTGAACCTGGTTCTCTCCAGAGTGAAATCTTAGTGCTTCTGTGTGATTGTTTTTAGGACCAAAGAAGTTGATGGCATTTGGTGACAGTGATAACTGACTTCTCCAAAGTCATTTTGTATTTAACCCAAGATGCTCATTGCTTCTTTCTTGTTCTTGACTGGTATTTTATCTGGTCTACTCTCCACAGGATGGGACCATATTCAGACCATAGACTCCTTACTGAGGAAAGGAGGATACAAAGCTCCAATTACTAATGAATTCAGGAAAACCATAAAACTGACCAGGTACAGAAGGCATTTTCTGGTGCAAGGCAGACCAGTACATTTTGATGTGTACACCTCTAACCCTTTGATTTCTTTGGTCTTCCTAACTATACTTGCTTCTCTTCTGACACAGTGTGGAAATGTATGCCAGGGCCATCCTGAGAGTAAATACTCAGCCTTACTGAGGGCAGTAAGGCCCATATGATATATGAGCTCATCCTTCATATCTTAAGCTTGGTGGGGCTACCCTGGCCTCATATGAGCAAGCCCTCTGAGCGTTTAGGCTACATTATTGAAGAAAGGTACCTGAATTTGCTATTGCCTGGCTTTTGACATTGCTTAGCAGAACCCCAGGATTCTGAGAAGCAGTCCCTAAATTGAGTTTAACCTTGCAGTTTTGGCAGTGATAGAAGTCTACCATGAAAGCTTGCTGAAAGACACAGTTGAGCTAGACTCACAAATGCTAAATAAAATTCAGCATGGGACAATAGGGATACTTATTTTAAAAGGAAACTATCAAACATTTTAGGAAGATGGGTTGTGTTTCCATTTATTTCAATTCCATAAAACCACATTGAATGCTTTTAGTCTAAACATGGACTGTTTTAGCTCTGAGGAATAACAAATTTGAAAATGCCTCCATTTCTGCTCTCCCTGAGCTCATAGTCTAGGAAAATAGAAGGGCATATACATACATAAATATTACTTTGAGGCAGAATGTAATGGGTGATGTGAGATCATAAAACAGGGTAAGAGGAATTCCAGAAGAGGGTAAGGGATAACAGAAAATTTCAAAGAGGAGGTGGATTTGAGACTGGGTATAAAGAATGGGTAGATTATTTGATAGGTAGAGACAGAGAGAGGAAAGGGATTAACACAAAGAAAACTTTGTGAGTCAAGGCATGTAGGTATTGGAGAACAGAGCAAGTTCTGAAGAGTGTTCCATTGTCTGAGTTGGACTTTCAGTGTACATACAGAAGGTGGTCATTAGGGTGAAATATGATGCAGGAGGTAGGTTGTATCATGGAGCTTCTTGGGTTCTACATTTAGAAGTTTAGTCCTGATTCTATAGGCAATTGGCAGCCACTGAAGAATGCTAAACAGATGGATTTGGAGAAGTATAATATTGGAATTGGAAACAGGAAAATTAGAAGGCATTGCTGTTATCTATGGAACTGTGGCAGCAATCCAAGAAAGGTGAAATGGGAGCCTCAGCAAGAGCTATTGCAATGGAATGGGAAGATAGGAGGGGACAGATAGGAAATTATTGTGGAAGAAATGAAAGGACTTAATCATCACCTAGAAGTAGGGGAGAAGAACAAGCCAAGAAAAAGGGAGCCAAGCTGATCCCTTTAACAAAGGCAGGGACCACAGGAGGAAAGTTTTATGCACTGATTCTGGAGTGCTTCCTAGGATACTGCTCTATGTAGGACTGTCTACAGGATCACTGAAAATGTATATGTATGGAGCTCATGGCTAGAGGTGGTAATTTGGGTGGGGTTCAGTGAGAGTGGACAGGACACAGTGTCGAAAGAACTGAGGTTAGACATGTAGGAAACCCCTACAAGGTAGCGGTAGGATGCATTGACAGAGATAAGAGCAGTTTGAGAGGCAGGGGGAGCATCAGGGTTATGTACATATAGATAATGTACCTGTAGGTAATGTGGAGTTGTAGAGCCCATGGCATGAGAACTTCAGAAGGGGAGTGGGAATGGTATCATAATGGAGAGGAAAGAAGAATGAGGGGGTAGCCTTCTGCAAGGACGGATTCGGTAAAAAGTAGCAGCAGAAGTCTAGAAGCACTAGGCCAAGGGGTAGTGTGAGATGAGGGATTGACGGTAGAAAATACACATTACTCTTTTGAAAAGGGTGGCAATGAAAAGAAAGCTAAAGATGGGGGAAAGAGGTTTGGGGATACCAAGGTTAAGAAAAGTTCTTGTTACTTTTTCTAATTGCAAGACCTAGGCAGATGTATGGATAGAGGGAAGCAAATGGTAAAAGAGGGAGCAATGGAAGATCCCAGAAGAAAAAGTAGTCAAGTGAATGAGATGCATACATAATGGGGAATAGGTTAGTTTTCCCCTTTTCATTTCTGTTAGCCAACCAGGACTGAGGGAGGACAATAAAATTTCTGAGACCATTTGAACCAGGAGTTGTAGAGTGGAAAGAGCACTGTGTTCAGACGCTGAATTCCTTGGTTCTGATTGCAGCATTGCTACTCTCTAGCTGTGTGACTTTAGGCAAGTCATCACTTCTCTCCGACTCTTTCCTGATCTATAAAATTCTCTCTCTAAGGTCCCTTCTAGCTTGACATTGGCATGTCACCTTATTTCCTGATATTAACTTTGTCTCTTCCCTGATTTTCTTTCAGGTACCGTAGTGAAAAGATGACCCTGAGCTATGCTGAGTACCTTGCTCATCGCCAGCATCATCACTTCCAAAATGGCATTGGGCATCCCCTTCCGCCATACAACCATTATTCCTGACACTGAGCCGCACAACCAGTCACTGGGCCTCTCTGCAGACCTCTTCCCAGGAGACCCTACCCCTTCTTGGTCTAGCTATCTCTTTTACTGTACTATTTTATGATGATAGTTTCCGTTGCCATGGTGACGCTTTGACACCGTCAATTAAGATCATCATGGTAACGGGTAGGAAATGGCATTTAAGAAGATTCTGTTTTATTATTTTAGACCATTCATTTTTTTGCAGCATATATGAATTTGGGGGTTTTCTTTCCTTACAATGTTAGAGTTTTGCTTTGCCATCTCGATTGGGTTTCTATCTTTCCATCCTTCTTGCCTTCTTTCCTGTCTTCTTTCCTTCCTTCCTTCGTTTCACTGTGGATGGAAGAAATTGTGCAGTTTATAAGGATTTTTTTTTAGGTTTTTTGTTAGTGTTCCTCAGTAAGGTAATTTTTGCTAGTTGAGTTTGACATTAATTCATATCAAATTCAGGTATTTGTATATTACCCATGAGTTTGTCTAAAATTCATTTTGCTATGAGTTTAGTATGTAGCTCTTTGCTCCTTGAGTATGTTTTTTCCCATGGTTAAAATATATGAACTTTAGTTCAAATAGGGGATTATTCAAAGGTCCATGATAGGGCTTGTCACAGAGAGTGAGAAATCATTTATGCCTGTGTGCTGGTTATCATAGGAGAGACTGCCTCATCACTTTATACAACCAACTTACAAACTAAAACACTGTTTTAAGAAAGTACAAGCTACTTTTCAGCTATGCTACAGAAAGCATTTGAAGAGCCATGAATATCAGAAAGAGAACAGATACAGAACTTAGTGCCTTTGAGAAGAATATAACTAAATGGAATTAAGAGGGGTTTTTAAAAAGGCAATTTAGAGAAATATTCTTGTAAAGTTTTATTGTTTCTATATATGAAATGACAGATTAGACAAATCCCTTACACTTAAGTATTTTTTTAAGCTGAAAAAAATTTATTCTGAGCAAATAACCAAAAAGAGACATTTGTCTGTTATATATTAAATCTGTTAGCTTTAGATTTCGCTAAGTCATGATCGGCCAGAGACAATTTTAGCTACCATTTAAAGAAATGGTAAAGATAATCTAGTGAAACGAAAGTTCATATATGCCATGATTTCAGATATTTTTGTCATGGGGGCAGTACTGGAGTTTTAGAAATACTATAAAATAGCTTGAATCTCGTTCTGCACTACATACTTTTGATATAAATACATTTACTATGTTGATGAGATGTTAGGTTACACCTGTAACAGTGGAATTGGCACTTAGATATGATCTAGAGTCCAGCTCATGTGCAGGACTATTCTTCCCATGATGTATACAAAACAAACTTCCTAATGTTAATAGGAGGTCTGTATATATATTCCCAGGAAAAAAGACAGATGATTCTGAAGAAAGATTACCTTCATAATGGTAATGGTAGTGTGTGTGTATGTATGTGAGTGTGTGACGTGTGTATGCACATATATGTGTATATATATATTTTTTCAAACAGGATACAGTATATCAAGTGATAAATAGAAGTATGGTGCAGAATATATAGTCTAAAACTATGAGATGTCACTGAATAACAAAATGGCCTAGCTTATACATGTAGCTGCTGTGACAAGTGACAGACTGCTAGTTCAGACAAAACCCCTTTTCTAGTTTGAGGTTAATTGGATGAATTTCTTCTGCTTGCCATTATGGCGAAGCAAACTGCTTTAGTTTTGAAGAGAGTGCTTAGAAGTTTGTTGGTATTCCTTCATCCACAGCATCTGTTGTTGAAATAACCATTTTCAGTTACGATGCCTTAACTAAGAAGCCAATTGTTAGCCTGAAATGTAGTCTCGGTAGCCAGTTCCACTGAACCTAGAGATTAGTCTGAGAAGACTAGCTGCTGGGCTTTAGAAAGGGATTTTGAGTCCTTTCATTTCTACTTGGGAGCATTTCGGAGCAGATTAGTCTTGCAGTATAAAAACAAGTGGCTACCTGATGGAAACTTTTTCTTGCCCTTATAGGGAAACTGAGCACAAGCTGAATGATACTGTCTGCTGCAAAAAAAAAAAAAAAAAAAAAAAAAAAAAGTAAATAAACAAGCAAACTGAAGAGAGACAAAATAGACCAATATAGATCCACCTTATCTGTCATCTCATCAGTTCAACAGGCTCCTCATCCTGGGTGAGCTCATGGTTAGAAGTTTTTTTAAAAAGAAAAGATCTATTTACATATATATATGTCTGTGTGCATATATATATACTTACACATACATATGTGTGTGTTTATGTATTTAACGGTGCTAATCAAATCTTGAGCAGGTCACGTGACTGGTCATGCGGACTCTAAAATCATATCAGATTTTTTTTTAATTCTTGATATATGCAGATGTTATACAGATTTTCTTACCGGTGTAATAATGTTATACTGAAGAAATAACCATCCTGCAGGCTTCAGAGGACGAGGTCAGCAATATTTCCCACCATGGCTTGGGGGAAAAGGATAGTTTTGTCTCCTTTTGTATTCAAAATAATGCACAGTGCATTTTTGTCTCTAAGTAGCTGTTGACTAAAAGACTTTGTAGTGTAAAGGGTGTTATACAAACTGCAATGGTGTGCTTCAAACAAACAAATGCTAGACCTTTGCACCTTTGTCGTATATTACAAAGCTGTTAAATATGTGGTTTGACTTAACTTTGAACATGTTGAAATATGTAGCATGTGTTTTTAACTCAGACAAAGATTCTAATTGCACAGGTTATATTCTAGCCAGTTGTGGTTTATTTGTTCAGAAACACAAATGTGAATTGCACTCTTATCACCAGAATATTACATAAGTTCAGTGATCTTCAAACAGCTCAGAAGTAATACTTGAACTTCATTTGAGTAGCACAAAGTTTACATGGCCCCTTTTAATGTTAATTAGTTCCATTCATGTTTTCCGTTTTCAAATGCAACTGGGTATTTTTCCTCTTGGAAAATAGTACGTATTTTACTTTGGTATGTAGCAAAAGGCTTCCATTTCTGGAAGGGTTTTCTTGTTCTTAAACAAGGTCAGCCAGGTACCAGATTCTAAAAGAACAATTGTTCCCTTCCCCCCTTTAAGTGGCCTTCTGACTGCACGAGAATGTGCTACTACCCCCTCCAGTCTCCCTGCCATGAGAGGTCAGTATGTTATTGATGGAGGAAGTATGAGGCTTGCTCTTTGCCCCCCACCCCACTTAAAGTAGTCACAAGGTTCTCAGTCCAGTGCATACAGCCCCAATGCTCAGCACACCAGAAGTTTGTATGCTGGCCTCTTTTCATGTCTTCAAATGTGCAGGAAATTCGAAACTGTCTTCTGGAATAGGTTCCATCTCTTATGTGTGTTAGATCAAACCAAAGAAGCCCCTAGCCATGCCCAAATGCTGCTCCAAAAGCCTGCCTTCCAGTCCTTACAAAAACCTTGCAGGATTAAATGTGTTAACTTTTTTATTTTTGTACAGTTTCTAAGTGATTTTTTGCTAGTGATGTTAAATTGAATTAAGTTTATTTGAGGAGTGTGAGCACCTCCTCCATTTGAATAAACTGGTGACTTTTCCTTTTATTTTTTAAAAACAGAAACCCATTGTGTGCCTCTCGATTTAAGGGTTTCTGATTACATTATTCTTAAGACCAGCATTGATCCTTTATATACAGAGATATGTTTTCCTTGTTTTTTATTACTGTTTCAGAAAAAAATAAACCTTTTATTTTGCTCTGGACCCAGTAATTGCGCTGGGGCATAGACGCACTGAGAAAACAAACTTTTGTAACCACCTCTGTTTTTGTATATCAAAGTTGATTACTTTTGAAATATTTGGATCTAGTTTCTAAGTTATTTTAGTGTTTTATATGTTCCCCCAAATTATTTTGAATCGGTCACCAGCATAATAAATTCTTGGTGATGCATCCGTGAGACTTGTAATGAGCAAAAGCTACCTGGAGTAGCTCTTTTCCTTCTTTCCTAGTGACCTGTTTTTTGATTACAGTAAGACACCACAGATTACCTGAAACCCTTTCAGGTAATAACTAGATCCTCCTTCCTCCCCCAGTTAATTGCTTAATAGTTTGAAGGAACTATTGGAAATGGGCATTTTATATGACATATATGGCTTTAAAACATTAAACATGAGAAGGTTTATGTGGGTCTGTAAGGTATGGCTGTGGAAAGATATTGTAGTAGTTTTGACACTATTGTTATTACCTTTTAAATCATTTACCCAATAAAACGTTAAAACTCAGTTACCATTTGTTGTTTCTTTCTTTAACCTGCCTCATCATAGGATCTGGGTTTCGTGGCTAATCCTTATAATACATTAACAGTTGAAGACTTTGAATTATATATTTAGAAAGTGATACTGGTTTCTTTCCTAACTTAGCACTCGGGAATTTCACCTGTCTCCAGCCCCTCCCTGTCAGATGTTTACCAAAGTCACCCCTTTGCCTAGCCCTCCATTCTGGCATGGTGCCGGAGCGGAGCCTTCTTCAGGCCCCGTCCCGGATCTGAGACAAACATCAGCCTTGAATTCTGGTCGCAGCTTAGCTACATTTAGGCCCGCCCTGAACACCTTTCAAAATCACTGTGTTTCCCCTTTGTGAGATGGTAGGAGGCAGCAGCAGTGCTCTCCACAGAAGCCACCTGATGAGGTGGAAGCCCTTCTTCTGCCATCAGCACTTTGCCATTTCCTCCGTTTTGTGCGGAATGTGAAATGTCCATGATGCGGCCACTTGGAGCCACATACATACATAGGCGTGCCTGACAGCCTTCTTCCTAGTTACCTTTCCATTTCCGGTGTGGTATGAGATGAAACGTCCCCCGCTGGAGCTTGGGGAAAACATCTGAGTCGAGGACAAGGCAGCCTGTGGTACTGACTTTAAGAGCCATAAGAGCGTGCCATCAAGAAAGGAATCTCTCGTGTGCTATCTCTATCAGCTGTTGCCCCATCTCTTTCTCTAAGGAAAGTCTACCAAGGACACTGTTGAGATTCCACTTGCTCTCTCTAAATCATTTGTTGTCTCAGATTCATCATGCATATTTCAGGATTAATTGCTAGTGAATATAGACAGGAAAATTTTCTGTTCTATTGCTCCAAATCCCTGCTACCCATGCGAAGTACGTGACATGTGCTTATGTCAATCACAGTAGCTAAAAACAGCCATCGTGGATCCTAGAGGACTGTTGTGGTCTTGCGCAGTGCTCCATTAAAGCAGCCATCTCCTCAGGCTCTCCCCAGTTTTGTCATTCGTGTTTAATGGCACATAGGAGTTTTTAATGATTTAGACAATATTAATAGGTTCAGGTAGAACGAAGTGATTTAGTGAGCCCACAGCATTCTCCTTTTTTTAGCATTAGTGGTTAACTCAATGGTCTGGACAGATTTCAACTTCAATATCACACTCCACCTACCTAAATTCTTCCCAGAGAGAATTTAGCACTTCCTTTTTAGATTTCATGCCCCACTGCGCACCTAAATACCTCCATTGCTTCCGAGGGCAAGCAAGGCTGTGTGGGAAGAGGCAGTTCCCTTCTGTTGATGGAAAATACTATCCTATCCAAGGGACCCTACCCGTGTGAGCCAGGGGAAGCCTGCCATGGGAAAACCACACGGGGACACACAGCTGCCAGTCAGGAGATCCAGTGACTGACTACTCACACAGAATGGCTTCTCCCTCTTTCTGCAGCTTGGAGACAAGTGTGAGCTGAGACAAGTGTGGACTTGGGCGGTGCTCGGATATTTTCCTATCTGTTTGCTTGGGCTTTTCACCTGCAGAGGAAGAGCTGAATGACAAGATGCAAGGGAAGCAGGCCTTGGGTTTACACTGCTTTGAGTACCACATTCAGAGGCTTCCTTTAATCCTTGCAGCCCATGGTACAATCTCCTGTTCCAAACCCACTGGAAAAATTCTTTGAAGAATTGGAGGTAACTGTCTTGCCAGTCTACCTCCTAATTAAACAACGTGGACTCACCCAGAGGACTGGCATAGGGTGTGGGTGTTATATAAATAAACACTGGCCAGCTCTTGCAGATTTCCATCATGACAGATGGTCACATTAGTTCAATAGAGGTTAAATGTAGGATGAGAAGGTTAGAGCACATGGCTGGGCAGAGGCTGCATGACATGCCTCTGTGCTCACCAACTGCCCTGGCATCTTGGAGCTCACGCTCCCATTCTAAAAGGAGGTGGCTGAGTCCCAGACGGCTGGTAATTTGTTAAGACTTTTCATCTCCATCCAAAGTGGAAGAATCTCTGCTTTTCGATCAAACTCTTACCTGATACCTTAATGCTGTCAAAAACATGAGAGTAAGAATAGTATTTCAGTATCACAATGCACAAATATATACAGGTTCCCCCCACTCACAGATAACCACATCTGAAAGCAGAATGTTTCTACTTGGTATGATGTAAGTTTTTTGGGAGGGCTCTGGGGAATGCTACTACCATTAATTTATATGGAAACATTTTAACATTCACAGACCCCAAAAATAACCTGCCAAATTAAATTAGGAGTTGTTCTACTTTTGGATAGTGGGGGGAACCTGTAACAGTTCCTTATGAAGTAAATGAGAATGATGAGGCTGTTTTGTTAACGATAAGAATTTGTAATCAGCGTGGAAAATGACAGTTGTAGTTACGGTCTCAGCACTCCATTCATTTCTGGGTTTCATTTTGGCTGTACAGCAGCAAGAAGGTCCTGATTTGTACAAAGAAGTGGTATTGTGCTTGTATAGTTTTATGAAATTGGGTACTTACAGGCCTACATTGTAAAATCCTGGTGCAGCCACAACCTTTGAAACTAGGCCTGACAAGGAAGATCAGGCAGGATAACCATCCCTCCTGAGATCTAACCAGAAAAGAATCGGCTTGATAGAGCCTGCTAATAACCCATTGGTGGTGTTCAGTTGTCTTTCTGAATGTAACACGCTAAGTGTTTGTTAGGGTTTCTTTTTTTTTTTAAACAGTTGTTTATGTTTTTGTTTTTAAAGATTTATTTATTTATTTATACAAGCACTGGGTACAGTCAGAAGCACGGGAGGGTGAGGATTCACCAGAGACAGAGCGGGGAACAGAATAGACAGACTGACGAAATACACTGCTGAGGGGAGCAGCGGGCGTGGCAGGAGAGGTCTGCGCACCATGTGGGCAGGGGATCGAACCGGCGCTGCAGAGGCTACGGGCAGCCTCGCAGCCCAGCACTCAACCGCTGCACCACCAGGGGAGGCCCTGTTAGGGTTTCTTTTCAGATAATACTGCCTTTTTTCAATATTATATACTTAAGCACAAATTCTTTTTTGGTACTGAATGTTTATGGAAACTTGGATCTGTTCCAACAAAAAACCACGTCCCACCAGACAATCTGAAAACCACGGCTGGTGCCCCAACCAGCCCAGTTATTTTGAGAGTGTTTGGCAAGCCATCGTTTCTTCTTTTCCATTTTGGCCTTTTCCTCCCAAATGTCAGGCTCCACGTGATCCATTGATATTCACTGAGTGCCTGCCCCTACACCCCGCCCGTCCCCTAGAAATGGCGCTGTGCTTGGCCGCAGAATGAAGACAGCATAATTTTCTAAAACAGATGAACAGTCCAGTTCAGAGTCTTGAGGGGCATACCAGTTTGGGCTAATTGGGAAAAGCCATGCAGACTGGGGCCCAGGCAAATCAAGCTGGCTTTACAGGGTTTTCCTTAATGACTTCCAGCTCCCGGTGGCAGGAGAGCAGAGTAGTTGCCCCCTGTCGGGAAATGCTATTCCTTCAGCCCTCAGCACATCAGCAGCAGAAGCCACTGGCTTTAGTCTGGGCTATGATTGTTGAGTGGAGGAGGAGAATGCTTCTGTTCCCACAATGTGGCTGCCTTGCTCTCTCTAGCAGGGAGGTGTGAGGTGTCTGAGAGAGAATCAATGTGATTATCAAAGAGACAGGTTTATGTACATGTAGAATGGCATCTGGTAGGTACAAGGTGGTTCTCTCCCTGCAAAGCTGCCCCCCTGAAAGGCACACACCCTTTCCACAACCAGGAGAGAAAACAGCACAGGTAGAGACTAGGCTGTTTACTCTAAACGAAAGCTTAATGTGCGTACTGGTTGAGAAATTACCCCAATAGGAAAAAAAAAAAATCCACTCATGGGGCCTGGGAGAGATAGGGTATTGGAGGTAACCCAGCAAGGGAGGGAAATCAGACTAACTTTCTGAATAACCTTCTACGTAGAAGGGGCAAAGGCAGGTCTTAAATGTGGATGGTGTAAAACACGCAATGAGGACACATGGAGTTTAAATCATGTTGGACTCATGGAAGCTGCTGAATGTCGCAGCCATTGCCTGCACACCAGGCAGATTTGGAACCAGGACTTCCTAGTGGTCCCTTTTCATCAGATCAGCATTTCCATTGAAGGGTACTCTGGAATCACCCAAGGTTTCCATAGCTGCCAACTGGGTAAGTGGATTTGTGTGTTTTCAGCATGGAAGATAAGGGCTGATAGCTGGGTGGACCCATCATATCCCCCACTCTCCCATGCCCTGGCAGAGTAGAAAGGGTGTCTTGGCTTGGAAAGAATGGGAAACCCCCATCTATTTTAAAGGACAGTACTAGCGTGAGTAATGCAAACACTTCCCTATGTTTTCTCTACTTCAAACATTAAAATGTTTTCAGGGACACTAAAGGGAGACATTGATACCCGGCTGGCCCAGGCTCGGCAATGACCCATTCCCAGCATTGTGGTCGGGAACCGTGATGGGTGGCCACAGTGACCTTTGTACCGGAAGCCATACCCCTTGGTGACTTGGTTCCTCCTGTGTCTTGCCTAGTGTATGTGGTCTGTGGTCTTCATGAATGATGGGATTGAGAAGGGGAACACGGCGTTACTCAAACATGGTGGGATAATGTTCTTGGAAAAAAGATGGGCCTCACTGGTCCCTTCCTCCCCCGTTTAGGTTTGCGCCACTCCAGAAGACTCTTTCCTTGGAGAATGGCAACTAGAAATTGCTACTAGTCAACCCCACACTGGGAAAGTGCAGGGAACGCCCTTTGTTCTAGGGAAGGTGAGACAATAAGTCCTGCAAGCTGGGTGCACGGGGCACTTGAGAGTTAAAAAAGAAACTCCTTTCTTTTCACCCCTTTTTGACATTGTCTTTTATTAAGGTAAAATTCACATGGCATACAATTAACCATTCCAAGCATACAATTCAGTGACATTCAGGGCATTCACAATGTTGTTCAACCACTGACTCTATTTTTAAACTTT